AAATTATTTCAGTTTCTTTTTTTTTTGACTTTTGAAATTATTATTAAAATAATAAAACAATTATCATTTATATATTACATTATTAATTACGTGTCTTTTGATCTTCCATTATCTATTGTAATATAATAATTTTCATTAAGATTACAATTTTTATTAATTAAATAAATTATAATTAAATTTTAGTATATTTACCGCCTTTTACTTACCATTGAATTAATTAGTGGCAGATGCAGCGTCCCCCAGTAGGAGCCAACCCATGTAGTATACATTTCTTAAAATGAGAAATCTTTCCATTTTATTTATTTATTTATTTTGGTTGCCTACAGAGAAGGATCTTGCCTTGAAAAAAACTTGAAATGCAACTTCAACCGGCCTTGGTTTATCTCAAACCACCTTTTAACTAAAACAGAAGGCTTGACTTTGAACAGGTTTTATCTTTTATATGTGTCTGCCTCTTGCATACATTGAATGGCACAGGTTTATTTTATCCTTTTAAAAAAATCCCAATAATAGTCTCCATATATATTTTTTTTGAACAAATTCGTAAGGGATTAAATTCAAACCGTAACCCTGAGGGTGAAAGAATGCACTTATACGTGACCTAACACTACTGGATCTGAAGTCGCAAGTACAATAGTCTCCATATTTTACTCATAATTATATGGGAGAATTACATGATCAAATATATATTGTATCATGTTTTCTTTTACTTTTAACAACAAACTATGTATTGACAACCACTTAAGATTTTTAAAATAAATGAAAAATTAAGTGTGAAAATATATAAAAAAAGAGTCGTTACTCGTCAAAATTATAAGTGAAACAAGTCACCTAAAACGAGTTTACACAGAAATCGAGGTTCAAAAGTTCGGTTAGAAGTGAAGAAGGGCATACGCGCACCTCACAATCCACCGTTTAAACACGGTTGCATACTTTCAAATTGAGGTTGTAATTCAACTTATTTATTATGTTTATGTTTGAGTCTTAAAAAAGTAAACTTAAAAAAAAGATAAACAGAATCAAAACATTTTTTTTATATATTTTTGGACTAAAATAGATAATCAAGAACATGCATGCACAATAAACACAAATAAAAATTGAATGGACTGATTTGATTAAAATAAAAAAAATAAAGAACTGATTTGAAAAGATTTGAAACTTTTGGACTAAAGTACTTAAACATAAAAGTTTTGAGTAAAATTGAGATAAAATAACAGATAACCTTTTACTTTGACCCGAATTAAAAAAATGAAAAATGAAAATAACTAATTAAGATAATTAATTTAATTGAATAATTAATTTAATATTAATTAAAATTAACTAAAATTAATTAATCACAT